AAGCAACTTGCAAAAAGTGTAATAAACCATAAAGATTCAAACTCAGAACAACAATAGAAATGCATATATATTTGTTTTGAATAAGACAAACCGTTGTAAATGCTTGTCAGAAAGGAAGGTGTAACAATATTTTGAGTTGTGATTTAGATTATGTTTTCCAAAGACAGATTTGAAAGGGTGATGCACATACATATCAGGGTATGATATGCGTAAATGCTCCGCAGGTCGAAGTAGGTCTGCCGTAGCACGGACTGAAACCTAATGCTTTGGCTGCCTGCTCTACCAGGTGAGCTATTAGTATCGCAGAAAAAACTACAACCTATGGAGACTCAGAGTATTCAAAAAATAAAGATATAACACATTTTGAAACTAGCATGATACTATGATACCACCGGAAAGGCTCTTTGCACAAGTAAAAAATAACGCGTGTATCCGCCCTGTGATTCGAGTCATTTCCTTACTCCAAGATTACTGAACATCTGAGAGTTTTTTCATTATTAGACTGACAAGTAATGTACCAAAATGTAGCCGCTTTGTGAAGGTAATACAGGATTTTCCCATGGAGAAATCAGCGGAATACATACAGTTAGCACATATAACCTTGAGATTATCTGAGCTCATTTAAGCCATAAAATGTATTTCTTTCCATATATTATTTTATTTGCTTTATGCGCTCTGTGTAAATTGTAAGCCTTGTTATATTGTTATTCAATAAAATGGAAAAAGGCCAATTTTAAATAAAAGCTGGAATAACGTTTTTCAAAACGCCTGCGAGAGCATTTCTCAACATTTCATCATAAACCCGCCAGAGTTTTATTTATAGTATTCTCCGTATTGTATTTAATCTGATTATTTATTGCATGAAGTTGTATTTATTTATTTGATTCTACCAATGATAAACATTTATTTTGAGGCCCGAATATGAGAATGCGTGGTCCCAACAATATTTTACAACCGATATTAAATAAAGAATAGGGTTTTTTAAACCATAAACCATGTCCAAAACAACCCTGTCTCTCGATAGCGATACAAATAAAAATAAAACAACTTAAGGATTAAGTGATCCTTGATGTATATAGATAACTATCCTCATACTAACTTGACAGGGTATATGCAGGAATCCTGAAGTCAAATGTAAGACCTTTTAAGACCTTTTTTAAGACCCTTCCCATACATTTTAAGACCTCATCGCCACTTGGAGTTTTAACCGGTTACCTTGGCGACACACTTTACCTCACATTGACTATATACAGTATTGATTGTCCTTCCTCCTTATCTTCCAACTATTTGGACGCAAACTTGCATTTCTCCATAACGATGTTGTTTAACAACCGGCGTAAACGGACCTTCGCGCGCTATCAAGCAGTGAGCGTGCGATGTCCTGTTCAGATGACGTCAAATCCAACGGGATGCCAAATAAACTACACAGAATCACACTACACACCTACGCAATGATTACATTCAGGCAGACTGTAGAATACAACCTCTTTGGACAATTTATATACTTATTGAAAACAAGCTACAAAATGTAATACCTTGGAAAATGCCGTTTAATACTTTTTAATAGCCTTCATTTTTGCTAAATTGATTTATCAACTTTTAATACTTTTTAAGACCCCGCGGACACCCTGCTTGAACACAGACAGGTTTTTATTAGCTACTGAAAGCTTTTGGCGATACATGGTTTTCTTAAGCTTTACATTTCACCTCTAATACTAGCCTCGTCTCTTTTGGTTACCATGATGTCGTTATGTAGAGAAAGTAAATCTTTACATCAGCTTATTAAGTATTATACTCCGTCCACGCAAATGAAAAATAGTAAATATGAGTAAACTGAGATGAGGACGTTTTACCTTCCTCCTCCACACCCCCGCTGATCGGAGCCCCTTCTCTTTTTTCTGGTTCTGGATTTAAAAATAAAGGGAAATCCGACTCTATTATAATGACTGTGTCTCTCAGGCACACAATGGATTAATATATTCACAGTTTCTGTTTAAGAAAAACCCATTTAGAGAAGTCAGAATATTAAAACTACCTTTCCCTTTGCCCCATTTCTCCCCCTACACACACATATATGTACACACACATACACGGCATTGTACTGTGTGTGCACACGGGTTTTGAAGGACACTCTCTCGACGTGGACCGGAGTGAAAACTCACATGTATACAATTCGAAACCTCACTATGTCAGAGAGCAGTGGTAGATTAGTGTACGGTCAGCCTTTTAGAAACCCTTCTGGCCGTTTGTATGTACACAAGATGAAGATGACAGCAAACATGAACAATGGACCAAAACAAAATGGCTGTCCGTGGCTGGTATATCAAATATACATACAGAAACGCAGCGTCTGTGTCTGTGATCGCCTGTGTCTGTGATCGCCTGTGTGTGTGTAGGAGTGTGTGTTGTGGGGCTCTTCATGGATGTGTGAGCAGTTGCCTTTTCTTCCACCAATTTAATGTTTTCTTTTGCGTTCTTTACAAAGGTTATCTCTTCCATGTACAGCATAACGAAAGCCAAGAGGCCAAATTACATTTTCGGCACATTATTTTTTTAATGCATTTATGTAGATATAACAATTTTCCACTTCCAAAATAGAATGGAGTCAGTGATTACTCTCTTGCAGGATCTTGAGGAATAGATGTTTTCATTTAGATTAAATAATGTTCATGAAAAGGGCAGAAATCAGATTTTAAGGGACGTTATATTTACATCTCTCTGGCGACTTTTTAGTCAGAGCGTCTTTGTAGGAAAACCTGGTGTAAATAGCAATCACTTAAATCATTCAAATGTATTTAAAGGTTAAATAACTAAAAAGAGATGTACTATTTTTCTGATGTCCTTCAACTTGCACAGGGATTTTGTAACTCGTCAGAACAAATTAGTTTAGGGGAAGATCAGAAAAACACTTAATATCTTTGCTAACAACTTTACTACAATTTGTTGATTTGTTGTTGAGTATATTCCTATATACGCGTCTTCTAAAATGACACAAAATAATATGTTAATATCTACTGTATATGTTAATAGCTTTGTTATTATTAGCAAGAAAACTAAAGCAATTTTAATGGAGTTCAGTTCTGTCTGTTTATTTAGATTTCCAAATTGAAATCCCTTTAGAAAAGCGTTCGGGCTTAGACTTGAAATGTAAGAGCAACCCGACCTGACCTATCACGTCCCGGTTTGACTCCGAGATGCAAGTCTTATCTCTATCCGGTCTAGCTCTATACGGTAACCTAGAAAATGAAAGAAAAAACGGCAAACAAAAAAATCTAATCTGTTTGAAAAGAGAACCAAATCTACATAGTGGAAGAAAACCGTTTGTGTAACAAAGTGGATCATTTAGGTATCAAAACATGCCTCCAATCCGAATCAAACGCATATACATGACTAATATAACAATGGACAAAATCTATATGAATTCAAACAAACAATAACAATGATACCGACTGGAAACATGTTTTTATATCTTTGTATATCTTTGGCTGTAGTGATTCAGTTTCCAGTAGCAGTTTGTGTTTTGAGTGATCGATTGATCAATACCGCTGCTATCCCTCCTGCACTTTCCCTCAGTGGAAACACACACCTGAACACATACAACAAACAGTGAAAAACACTTAAGCTGCCACATCGCGTGTCCTGTATTTCGTAAAATAACTGTATTTTGATAAAGAACTCTTTCTTACACAGCTGGAAATCGATGCGCTCGGTACTTAATGTTTAGTGGCATAAAATACCTTTATTCTTCAAGCCGTTAAGTCATTAAAGCGCGGATAAGGTGACGTTATTTATCCAATCACACACACACAGACACAGGGGAGGTTAAATGAGTATGAAAAGAGATCGGGTGGAAAACACTTGACATGGAAGTGAATATATGGAATCATCGTCCGAACAGAAATACAATCTGACACGCAAATAACACAGGACGTTAATGGAGGCATGAGATAATCTCCGTGGTAACACATATACGGACATATTGAGTGGACCGAATGTCTGTCTTTCCATCTTCTTTTGACCTGAGGCGGCCCACCTCCCCTGTCCCGACTTTACCCAGCTTAACACAGGATAAGTGCTGCCCTCACCTCTGCACTGTTGAGCCAAAGCACTGATATCTCTCTTTTCTCCCCACTATCTCTTCTTCTTCTTCTTCTGCTGCTGCTTTTTTACCCTGCAGTGGTAAGCAGAAGAGGCGAAGAAGGCCCCTAAATCACTGCTGTCACTCAACCTCCTGAGACCAGACCTATGTCAGGGTCCCTGTCACGCACACACACACACACACACACCAACACACACATGAAGAAAAGGCGTCGAGGGACTCTGTGCTGTGTGTGTGGCATTAGTTGAACAAGTGACAACAACAGTTTTCCATCTCACGGTGGAAACATGAAGGACAGGAGGATGGAAGTAAACAAACCCAGCCTGGGATTAAGGGAGAGAGAAGTGTGTGTGTGAAGTGTGTGTGTGTGTGTGTGTGTGTGTGTGTGTGTGTGTGTGTGTGTGTGTGTGTGTGTGTGAAGTGTGTGTTTGTGACATGAACGCTCACACACACGCACACACACACAGAGAAGCACATTTAAGGAGCTCAAAAGGAAAAAGTGACATGCTCACCCTGGATCAGGATGGAAAACACACACACACTATCTCACACACACACTTTCACGTCAGCGCCTATAACACATGCGCCGTTCCTGCAGCCAAATATGAGCAATGTCAAAACGAGTTCACACACACACACATATCGCCCAGATTTTCTCGAGTTGGGATGTGCGGCCAAACTTTGATGTCGTTCCCCGGCTTAGGACACACACACACACACACACACACCATGTGAGTGTGTGTAGGTACATGTTGGTGTGTTTTCCAAGGAGCTCCTATACATGTTTGAAGTTAATCCACGCTGTTAGTTAGACAATATGCATTGTTTGCCTCAAAAGAAGACACACATACACGGAGACACACACGGAAACACACACACACACACACACACACACACTTACCTTCGTTACTGTTAGTTCCCGTGGAGCCCACAGCCTGTAGAGATATAGTCCATAGCAGAATCACAACCAGCCCCAGATCTGAAGCCATGGTGTTCTCCCTCCTCACTCTCTCCCTCTCTGACTCCCCTCTTCCTCACTCTCCCTCTTCCTCACTCTCCCTCTCTGCCTCTCGCTGCCTCCCTCTCTCCTCCTCTTCCTCTCCTTCCTCTGAGTCCCAGGGTTGAAGCGAGAGCCGGCGCTGAGGAGTGTGAGGGCTGCGAGCTCATTGGAGGTCTGAGTTGGAGGCTGCCTTGCCTTTCTGTGGCTCGCCTTCAGTCTGCCGGCTCCCTCACACACACACACACACACACACACACATTCATACATACATACACTTACGGCAGGCAACCGAAAGGGGAGGGGGAGGGACCGGAGTGTCTGTCAAAGTCTCAGCAGCCAATCACAGCGTGGGATCAGCCGGCAATGCACGCTAAATGTTCTCTACGATGACACACCCTCCTGTCCTACCTGCTCACTTTCTGTTTATCTCTCTGGGTCATCAGCTGGCACACACACTCTCTCTCTCTCTCTCTCTCTCTCTCTCTCTCTCTCTCTCTCTCTCTCTTGTCATTGGCTTCTTTCTCACACACACACACACACACACACACACACACACACACACACACACACACACACACACACACTCACACACACACACACACACACACACACACACATACACACACACACACACACACACACACATACACACACACACACTCACACATTCACCTACCCAGTGGCTAATATCTGACTGGTGGGATGGACTGAAAACAGCAGCATGTCTGCGAGGCTCAAGGATCGGTTATTGATCTCCTGTATTGTATTTGTAAAGCTATTATATATGTCCAGGTGCAGCAGAGTTTGTCCTGACATGGTTCTATAAGTGTGTGTGTGTGTGTGTGTGTGTGTGTGTGTGTGTGTGTGTGTGTGTGTGTGTGTGTGTGTGTGTGTGTCTGTTTTGAGTGTTATTCAAGGTCTGTGATCATGTATTGATTCATGCGATAGTGGAACTCTGCAGTTGTGCCGGATCACAGCACCTGTCCTGATCAATCCGTTTTTCACTCAGCAGGTTATGCGGCAGATGACACACACAGACACACACCTTCACACACTGCTGCAAAGTGACCTGAGCTGTGTTGATGTAAAATCATTACTTGTAGTTTATAAAGCTGATTGGAGGTCTTTACTCAATGTAGTTATAGCTAGCTATTGGGGGATGTTGCACATGAAATATTTTGTTTGAATTGAAATGCTTATTTTTTAAATATGTCGGATCCTCTACTCTTGTTTGAACTGAATCAAAGGCACGTCTAACTGCTAGTATCTCGATACTCAAGGCACGTTCTGTGTTTGGATTTCCTCTACATTAACTTTAAGCTGATTTAAAACTTATAAAACTGTATAAACTAAAAGCACTTTGAGGTTCATGCAGTTGTGGGTCCCGTAAGGTGAGTCTGTTTTGTCAGTTTCTTTTTTTAAACTGTCATGATTAAACTCTGAAGCTCATCAAAAGTTATAAGTTACAGCTTTCATTTGTACAACTTCTACTGCTAATTATATTAAAATAAAAGTCACTGTTTACAAAGTTGTCTTCTTCGTCGCCAGTGTCATTGTCCATGTTGATGGCCACGGTCTCCATAATGGTGTTATTGTTTCTAGTAAAAAATCTGATCTACACAAAAAATATAAATATATATTGATGTACTTTCATACACCTAAAACACCTCTGTCGTAGTTGTAGTATTGTTTTTTTTGTAGTTGTTATTATGACAACACACATTCCTACCACCACGAGGTTCAGGTGTAAAACATGTTGGGAAAACAACTTTGGACACATTAGAGAACATTTGAGAAATTGCACAATTTTACAAGACATTTTTTGTTGTTATTTTATATTATTATACATAGTTTTACAAAGGTGTTTATCTGACCTAGTATTACTCTTCTCCACACCCTGCTGTTAACTTCTCAGTTCATGTTTATATTTGATCTGAGAGGAAAAACTCGATGTGTTGTTTTTACTGCCAGTACTACTACCAACATTGCTCATATGACTAAAATTAATAGTCTTAGTTAAAACCACTATCAAAACGTGTTATTATTACTTATTACTGTTAAAACTTATACAAAAATCATCATTACTAATAACATGATTTTGTATTCATTTATTGTGATGTGAAATAATAGTGTTTATAATGTTTGATTTTTTAATTTGTATTATTACAGAATACTTTCAATAAAAAATCCCCTTCTACAATAAGAAAAATATAACTTCTACTATAGAATAGAATATGGAGGGATGAAACCCTCTTTGATGGTCACACATGCAGAGCACACAGCACACAGTGACATGTGTTCTCTGCTTTTAACCCATGCTAGTACCAGGAGTCTAGTACTAGGAGCAGTGGGCTAATAATAATAACTTATTATAATACTACTCAGAATCTACCAATAAGAATAGATTTGTTCTACTACAACTACAGCTATTATTACTACTACACAATATGCTAATTGGAATATTAATAATAATAATAATATAATCTATTATATATACCAATGTGGTTACTAATATTAAAATTGAAAAAAACAAAACATGTTTTATCAGCTCTAATACAAATCTAGTAACTCCAAATAATAATGTACTTAGTTTACTTTAATACTATTACTGCTAATAATAATAATTGTACTTTATATATCTTAGAATAACGATTCAGAATTGTTAAATGCATTTAATCATTCAAGTATTTTTATTATTTAAAAAACCTTTGTAAAAAGTGTTAGAGTTACTGTATGTCTGTCTCCTTGTGAGGGGTTATGGTCTGTTTACTGAGACCCTGTGTGCCGCTGGAGCAGTGTGAGTGTGTGTGTGTGTGTGTGTGTGTGTGTGTGTGTGTGTGTGTGTGTGTGTGTGTGTGTGTGTGTGTGTGTGTGTGTGTGTGTGTGTGTGCGTGTGTGTGTGTACAGGAGTGTGTGTGTACAGGAGTGTGTGTGTACAGGAGTGTGTGTGTGCCCTGCTGCGTGCTGAGTTTCAGACTGAAGTGTCCGGCCTGTGAGCTGCGGGACACGGCATCACACACTCCGCTGCTGCCCCCGCTGACACATTGCTTCATTCTCCTCACACACACACACACACACACACACACGAGAAGAAAAGTAGTCCCTCTCATCCTGCAAAATATTAGAGACTTTAAGAGAGGACTCCCCCCTGAATATGGAGTGTGAGCGTCCATGCAGCTGGCCTGCTAAGTGAGGGGGACGGAGGCTCGGTGTCCAGGCCAAATCGAAGAAGCGCTGCTCCTGCCAAACCACCCCCCAACAACCCCCCCCATCCTCCCCCCCCCCCCCCCCCCAGGCCTGCACACACAGGGGCTTTCTGTGTGTGTGTATAATGCTTCCTGTATAGGGGAAGCCTTGTGCCTACGTGCAGTGTCTCAATAAAGCGTGGAGCGAGCGCAGAAACACAGAGGAGTGCAGCGGGTTATATTCAGGCAGACGTTGTTATTCTCTGTGATTTGTCCCTGCTCTGCAGTGTGTGTCGGTGTGTGTGTGAGGCTCCGTTGCAGTGTGTGTCGTGTGTGTGAGGCTCCGTTGCTCCATTGCTTTACCACTAGGCTGCACTGTCAGTCTTCCTGTCTAATAGGCTGCGAGGACGACAACGCTGTCATCTTTCAGAGGAGAGGACGCTCTGTGAGCCCTTAAACACAACACAAATAATCACTGATTCATGTCCCTGACGTACATGACCAGAGGGATCCGTGGGAGAAGAGATCGCTTTGTGACAAAAAAGGGATCAAATGTAGAAAGAATATGAACTCTATATTACTAGCATGGCATGAGGTATTTTAGAAAAACAACCTTTTTGCCCAGGAACGACTTTCCATTAACCCTTAAATTGGCAGTCACATGACATTTTCTACATTACACACATATTACACTGTTATTGAACCCATATTCTACATTAATACACCCCTTTTACCCATGTTACACTGTTATTACACCATAATTACATAGTCTTTAGACCCATATTACCACCAATATTACAACGTAAGTACTGTATACTGTCATTACACCCACATATCATTACACCCACATTACACATTAACCCCTGTTACACCCATGTTATACTGTTATGAGACCCATATTAAACCCAGTTATTATGTTGTTATTACCCCCATTGTACACAAGGACACAGCCTGTCAAATGACTGTAAGGGTTAAGATGTGCAGCCCGGAGCTACTTGCCATAAAATATAGATATCAAATTGTTTGTTCTGTATTTTTGCACCCGAACATGTTCTCCTTTTATTGTTTTGTATTGAACCAGAAAAAAAAAGATCCCTGAAAAATCACACTCGCTGCTTTCTCCGTCACCTTCTGCATCCGTGATAATTGATTTTCCATGGAGAGACACATCAGTGTGACATCTTAGTTTAGGCAGCAGTGTAAAGTCCCCTTTTCATTTAAAGCTACAGGAGGTGGCAGAAAATGTCCACGTCTAAAATAAAGTGTGTGAAAAATATTATTCTGAGGCATTATTAGGACATTGTGTCTCAGACTATGAATTTAAAAAGACGAGTTATACTAATAGTGTCGGGGTCATTTTGTCCTTTAACCATAATTGAAGCAGTTCGAGGGGAGAATAATGTGTGATAGATGTGTTACTGTAAACACACACACAGACACACACACACACAGACGAGCTCATTAAAATGGCTCCCCATAGGTCTCTGCGCTCACAGTGAGTCTTTGAGAAGCCTTGTTGTTGTATACAGTATTTGTATCCGCCATAATGGGAAATTTTACGACGTGGCAACAGTGAGGGGAGTCCCCTGAACGCCTCGTGATGGGAATTTGAAAATCCACCTGGGTTTACCTGCGGGGTCTGTGGGCATCAGTTAAACCTTAATGTGTGTGTGTGTGAGCAGATGGTGGGGGTCAGTGCGTGCCCATACTGTTTGTGGGGCTCGTTGCTGTGTGTTGGCTAAATATAGCGCCGCAGTGACAGAGCTGACTCTCACTTTAATTCTCTGATCGTTTCAGCGACGTTCATT